CATCCCAAGAGTCTTCATAGGCATTTCTTTTTGTTGTTTTATCTGGTGGAAAGGCTTTCTCCGCTAAGCACACCAGCCCTTACTCAAGATGTCTGCAGCTAGGAATGCTAGGAGATGTTTTTCCAAGTGTTTTTTTCAACAAAATAAAGCATAAAGACATGGATGGATGGATGGATGGATGGATGGGGGCGTTTGCTTTCAATAATAAACATTTATTAAATAGCATTTTCAGTTTGTGTTATTCAGAAACAGTATAGTTTCCACTTTAAGTCCATTTCATTTGGGCACTAATACAGAGACAGTCACTTGTGAATAATTTCTCCTTGTTTGGTCCTCTTTTAAACGTGCATTTCTTGAGTTAGGTGGCCCCCACTTCTAAGGGGGGAGTGGTCCCTGCTTTGTAAAGAGCTGCCATACCCCAAACCCAAGCCATTAGGCTCCACAAATGACTCTTCCCTATGAATTAGAGATCTCTATCCAGCACATCACCTCCACCTCCCTTTGAGCATGGTTGGCCAGTCAGGCTCTATTGCATTGTAGTATACTGTTACTGCAACTTATATCAGGCACTTGTAGCTGGAGGACAATGTATTTAGGAAGCTTACATGGGATGGACAATACAAAATAAGCTGCACTTATTTCCTTTTGTAGAACAATGGACAATAAATATGTGGGGAAATGACACAGAAAGCTGGAGGGCTGCACAGTGAATAGTGATGCCCTTCTCAACCCCAGCTAACCACTAGTGCTGTCCATGCTGCTTGCTTTTGGCGGCTCTCGCAGAACATTGTGTGTGTGATTCCTTACAGGATAGATTATAAATACCAACAAGACTGCATGCTAGACGTACTGTTATAGCTGTTCACAATAACTGCGCACATGTGTTTTAAACAAACTTGTGCTATCAATAAATTTCTATGACTTTTATGAGATGGATCGCTGAGTTTTGCTGAAAAAATTGTATTTGTATGCAGTTCTTGAACTGATTTTAACTGGCATTTTATATGATGCCTCAAACTGACTGTGTAATATGGTCACATACTATATCATTCACAATTCCTAAGAGTACATTAGATTAGCTTGTGTTTAACTTTGAATTATGTTCTTCCTGGATTCAAAGAATGCTGTAAGGATTACATAATTGAAAGAAGACATCATTAAAAGGATTGGTTACTTTTGGTCAAGAGTTAAATAGATATGTATATAGCAGTGGTTCTTAACCTTGTTGGAGGTACTGAACCCCACCAGTTTCATATGCGCATTCACCGAACCCTTCTTAATTGGAAAAATAAAATATGATTTTTAAAATTCAAAACATAGGTATATATTTAGGTATATATTTTATACATAGGTGCACAAAATGAACAAAACCGTTAAAAACAAAGAACAAAACCATTAAAACATGATTTTCACACAAAAACAAAAACATAATAATGAATATTTACTGCACGAATCATATGAGTTGGGTGTGGGTCTTCACCTCCGCCGAACCCGCGAGACTGACTCACCGAACCCCTGGGGTTCGATCGAACCCAGGTTAAGAGCCACTGGTATATAGTATATATATATATATATATATTTATTTATTTAAATTAATTCAGAACCAACAACCATAATTTAAAATGGCGAACACCACTAGGACAATGTTTTTAACGCCCTCTAGGGCAACCATTCCCAGCCAAGGTTCTGTGGAAATCTAAGGTTCCTCCAGAGTTTACTAGTGGTTCCCTGAGCTTTGGCTGATTGACCTTCCATCTGATGATACTTGCATAGTTTGGGGGCCAATGCCACTTGGCAGAGTCAGCGACATGACACCACTGGTCTGGTTTCCCGCACATCTCTTATGGGAACCCAGGCTTGTCATAGTGATTTTGTGCCTGAGTTCACACAGGAGTGGTGTGGGAACCCTCCGTGCATAATGAGTTCAAGCTGTGATGCTCTGGCTCCCAATCCAATTGTGGACATCATTGGCTGTGGCTTAGGCTCCTCCTGCCTAACCCATGGCGTTTTCTCCATATCTCCAGTGGCTCTCTACCCCCATCCCCGCCTCCAGCAGTTCGAACCATCCACTGGACCTCCTCCCCATCTCCCCGGTCCCACTGTACCAGATTGCTGCAATCAAAGTCAAACACCGAAAGGCCGCTTCACCAGTTCGGGGATTTGAAATCATGGTGGCTTTCTCTCCTCGCAGCTCTGAAAGTATGAGCTACACGGCTATTGATTGTTCAGCGCCGTCCTTGTGATGTTCTGACCGATTAGAGTCCCTGTAGTCCATACTGTCTAAGCAATACACAGGAGATTAGGCTGTAGGGGTTTCAAATTCCCAGACCAGTGAAATGGCTTTTCGAATGTCTGATAGCGGGGGATTGTGTCAATCTGGTACAGCGGGACCAGGGGGGGGATAGGGAGGGGGTCCAATGGATTGCTCAAATTGCTGTAGGCTGGTGAGAGAGAGCGGCTGGAGGCTGGGCGGGAGAGATCCGCTGAAGATGCAGGGTACAAAGCCGTCGGTGAGGTAGAAGGAGCCCAGCCAATGATGTCCGCATTCGGATCTAGAGCCGGAGCTTCACTTGTGAACCAGCGAAAACCATGCTGGGAGGTTTCCGCTCCGCTCCTGCGTGAAATCAAAGTCACTATGACACAGGAGCTGTGCTGGAAACCGCATGCAGTTATGGCAGGAATCATGCAGAATTCCTGTTCAAATCGCATACAATTCTTTGCAGTGCAATTTGAGCCCATACAACCCTTCTGATGACCACTGTAAGGAGGGTTTACTTCCCACTGACCTCCAATAAATTGGTTTTAGCAAGGGTTCATTGGACATGAAAATAATTTAATTGCTTCCTCTCAGGTGGAAAGATTGAGAAAGACTGGTCTAGAACATTATCTGTTGGTCCTAGGTGTAATTTAAATTGGAATTACAGACCAAATATTTGTTGCTGTCAATATGATAAAATTTGCTCTATCTTTTGTCCTGGTAAAGGATAAATGTGCTTAATGGAAATTAACAGACATCAGTAAAAACCTAAAAGAAATTCTAACCCTTCCTTACTCTGTCAAAAAAATTGGAAACATGTTTTGCCTAGAACGCATTTTCTCACTAACTTGATTCTGTTAGCTCTTGAGCATAAAGTTGGATGCAGCGGCAGCATGTCTCCTGTGTCCTCACTGCCTTGAAATTACAAGTATAGATCAACTGATGGTTTAGGTGCTTCTATGATGTGCAGAAAAGAGGGGTTGGTATATTTCCTTTCTTGGAAAACTTTGGGCAACTTAGAGGCCCAATTGGATTCTATCAGGCCAACCTGGCCTTGACATTGTTGACACCCTGCAGCCTGGCTGTACTGTTAAGGGGGGGTATATTGGCAGTGCTTCTCATAGCAATTCTAGAAGGAAATACTTTAATATCTTGATTTGAAATGAGCATAGCTTGGAATTATGAGCTTCAGCCTGGAGACTCTGGCTAATTGGTTTGCTCACTAGGGCTCTGGGCCATAGGGAATACCTTCAGCTCTGCTGCCACTTGGTTGACAGGAGAAGTGAAATCACTGTTTGCTGCCTGCGTTCTGTAACAATTTCCTGTTTGTTGCCCACCTGTTGTACTGATTACCTGTTTGTTGTCTACAGAAAGTATTGTGAGGTTTATCTGTTTGTTGCCTGTGTGTTATCTGAATTTCAATGATTTGCTTACTACCAATTACTTAGTAATTGTAAAGGATGCCATGGATGGGTCCCAGATGGGAGATTTACTTCACTACTCTTTGGGTTGTAGTCCCTTTAAGGGAGAGTTCAAGGGACATTATTGGTACTAAGGAGTTCTCAGCCATGCAGGGTGAGGTACTCCAATCAGAGTGGAGAGGACTGACTTACAGTGCTCTCTAGATTGATAAATCCTTATTTGGCACCCAGAGTTTGGAGGCTCGGAGAGATTTTGGGTGGGAACAATTCTCCAACCCTGATTACAGGGACTCTGGTCCCAAAAAAGTTACCCTGTCTGCAGGGGATGCCAGAAAAGAACAGGAAACAGGCAGCAAGTGTCTGTGAGGTGGAGTAGAGTAGAACACAGCTGAGTGAGCAATGTGAACTAGCTTGTGACTGAGACATGGCGGCTGAACTGAGGAAACCTCCTTTTTGCGACCCCAAGGCAGGCGGGAACTTTCATAAACCCCGTTAAGGGTTGGGTATTACTGGTGGTGAACCAAGCTTTATTTTTGTTGTACCAGATGTATGGACTATTTGCTTTATTTTTGTTGAAGGAAACTGTTTGGTTTGCTTGTTTTGCAAGTTTAGTAAAAAACTTTCTTTTACAAGTGGCTGGCTGGTGATCTCAGGCTCTCCAGATTATATAATGTTTGTAGGGGACTATATTGCTATACTTTATTGCCTGCAGGCTTTTCAATATATCCCCACCTGGAAATGGGGCAGCAAATGGGAATGGGGGCAGATGTGTAGGTGTCTGTGTTTGGAGCAGATGTGTAGGTGTCTGTGTTTGGAGGCACAATGCACTGTAGGTTCCCTGTGCAATACTGATGAAATCAAAATGTGGCCAGTTGCCATCATAGTAGGAGACCCTGCATATACACAGAGTAATAATAATAAGTGTCCAAGAGACACATACAAGGGTGTACTGCAGTGTGGAAATATTTATAAAAGTAAAAGATTAATATTTAATGTGGGTGAACTTGAGTGGCCTGCACTGAGCACTGACCTCAACCCGTGCTTAGTGTACAGTAGATAATGTATACAGTGGCCACTTTACTACATACTGTACATTGATCCATTTGCTGCATTGGACTCGGCTTGAACAAGGTATATGGATTTTAGTATATGTTGACTCAATAGCATCAACATTATACTACTGTTAGCAAGCAGAATCATATACACAAGATAAGATGGACCCATGAATTCATGCCTTTTTTTATGGTAATGTAATAGATTTGTCATTCACAGGTCCTGTGTGTTCGCTCCTCACCATACTTAGGTGAAAACTTGGTCACTCTCTTCTCTTCAGTCATGTGATCAGCTGTGTCCAATCACAGTTGATCACATGTAAACACGGAAATGCCGGTTATCGGCATTTCTCTCCTCTCGAGCTGTCACGCTGACAGCTCGAGAGGAGAGGAGAGCCGGTAATCGGCTTTCCGCGGAGGGGACATGTACACTGATCATCAGGGCACTGATGATCAGTGTGCCCTGATGATCAGTGTGGCCCCAGAAGTGCCACCTGTCAGTGCTCATAAGTGCCATGTGCCATTGCCCATCAGTGCCACGTGCCAGTGCCTATCAGTGCCACATCAATGCCACATATCAGTGCATACCAGTGCACATCAATGCCACATATCAGTGCTCATCTGAGCTGCCTTTCAATGTCACCCATCAGTGCCAGTCAGTGCCACCTATCAATGCCAATCAGTGCCACCTATGAGTGCTGCCAATCAGTTCCACCCATCAGTACCCGTCAGTGTCGCCTATCAGTGCGCATCAGTGCCGCCTATCAGTGCCAGTCAGTGTCGTCTAACAGTGCCAGTCAGTGCAGCCTAACAGTGCCAGTCAGTGCCGCCTATCAGTGCCAGTAAGTGCTGCCCTATCAGTGCCAGTCAGTGCCGTCTATCAGTGCCAGTCAGTGCCGCCTAACAGTGCCAGTCAGTGCAGCCTAACAGTGCCAGTCAGTGCCGCCTAACAGTGCCAGTCAGTGCTGCCTATCAGTGCCATAGATCTCACTGTCATGTATCAGTGCTGCCTTTCAGTGCCCATCAGTGATGCCTGTCAATGCCCATCAGTGCAACCTACCAGTGCCTCCTCATCAGTGCCACCTATCAGTGTCCATCAGTGCAGCCTATCAGTGCCCATCACTGCAGCCTCATTAGCGCACATCAGTGCAGGAGAAAAATCACTTATTTACAAAATTGTATAACAAAAACTAAGAAAAAACTTTTTTTTTTTAAATTTTTAGTGGTTTTTGGTTTGTTTAAGAAAAAATTAAAATCCCAGAGGTGATTAAATACCACCAAATGAAAGCTCTGTCTGTCACAAAAAAATGATAAAAATTTCATATGGGTACAGTGTTCCATGACCGCGCAATTGTCATTCAAAGTGTGACAACACTGAAAGCTGGAAATTGGCCTGGGCAGGAAGGGGGTGTAAGTGCCCGGTAGGCTAGTGGTTAAAGGCCCACAGTCTCATGGGTCCTCTTTTATATATTTTATTTATTTATTTTCTCAAAGTGAAGGAAGGCATAACCCTAGGTTCTCTCTAGCCGGCAGGCTGGTTTCGAGTGCAGGAATTGCACCTGTTCCCGCACCCGCAATCACCCGCAGCTGAATTGTGCTGCTGTTAGCGAGATGCACAGGGCTGCCATTCATTCTGAATGGCACCCCCACACATCGCAGCCCGCGACTGCAGGGAAACCACATGGTCAAAAAGACCATGCGATTTCGCTGCGGATGTGTTTTTGAAAAGGTGCATGGATGGGCTGATGTGCCCAAGCAAACGCGGGCAGTGTGGCCCGCACTAGTGTGAACCAGGCCACAAAACATTACTTCAATCTATACATTCAAATTGTCTCATGGGCTTTCGCTGTTTGATCACATCCTATTGTGTTATACAACTATCATCCTTCCATAAACTAACTCATTAAGGCACCAGTTTGCCAACTTTTCACTATTGTTTTACATTTAGTGTCAACGTCACATTTCACACAAACTGGGTAAGATACTTAGAAGTGGAATAAACCATTTATAGCATCTGTAGAAAAGCAAATGTGGAACTGATGGTGATAGTATATGGTTTATCTTAAATTCTTTGGAAAAGAAAACATTGTATCTGACCAGTCAGTATAGCCTACTCTGCTTTTGTTTTGTTTGCTTTTTTGTAATTATAGAGTCTTGTACTATGTTGTCCAGTGAAAGCTTGGACTTTAAATAATGCCCTTTATTTTAGGGGTGCACAACCTGTGGCCCTCACAGCCCTCTGATGTGGCCCTCAACCCCAAACTGAATGCAGGAGTTTTGGTGGACTTTCATGAAGTGCACCACATCTGTAAGATATAATAGCAGGAATACCCCGAAGGAAAGCCGCAGGTGCATTGCACTGCACCCACAGTGCAGGTAAACTGCAACATGTCTGTGTGAAAGCAGCCTTAAAGGGGGCTCATGGTAGTAAGGGCTCATTTACATATTTAGCGATACCCCCGAAGGGGCTGCTTAAGTTTGTTCACTCCGCCACTCTGCCTCTCAACCCCAAGAACTGTCTCAGCCCACACTGGCACACCTGGCAATAGTGTAAGTGCAAGGACCAATGAAAAGCACACACTTTATAATAAAACACAGAGATCAGCTTTACTGTAGACCTCTATGGGAAGTAATAAACATTAACAACCAGTATATGTTAGGAGAATCAAGAGAACAACAAATACTGTGACGGAAAGCAATATAACTCACTTTTACACTCGGGCTGCTTTCAGGGGATTCCAACCATGAATAACCCCAAGAGCAGAGGCAAACACTTAAATGGCAACCTCAAAGTGGATTTAACTCCTCTTCATAAATTTGGCCCCATGATGTCCAAGCAGGAGGAGAGCAGAAGAATGACTCTCTGTTGTGTCAGACTTCTCCCTTCTAAACCCCGACACCATGACCCCAATAGGAAAACACTGTACCCAACTGATGCTTAATAGCTACTTTCAAGGTAAAGCTATTCCCTCACACACCATGCAATATAGAGGCCTGACTACGCATGCGCGTGCTCGTATGGCACCAGTAACTTTAGTCTTTTGTAACTGGATGAATGTTGGGATCTTCAGCTAGCCACTTTCGTTGTTGCACTTAAACTCTTTAAACACTTAAAGTGTAATTGTAATCCTGTGGCAGTATTTGTATAGCAAAGTGAACACGGTGTCTGTTCAGCAGGGCCATCTACACAACCCAGTGCCTGGTGAATATGAGCAAGGTATGATGTCTCTGTATGTGTGCAATGTTCCTGTCATCTGACAGTGGGAGAAATCCCTCTCACCACATCCTGTGACAAAGGCCCAAACGATCGTCCTGGAAATGACAGGTTCCTCTGGTCACCTCACGATGAGCACTTCACACTGTCAGTGTAGGCACTGTACTGTAGACCACTTCTCTCAGTTTGGATGTTCCTTTGTCTGATGCAGATCACCAAGCATCCAGTGCACTGCCCATCAGCACTTCTTTGCCAGGTCCAATCTCTCTCCTGCCACATGCAATCTCCCTTCTCCCTCAGGAGAAACCCAAGATGGCCCCTTCACTCTGCTCTCCCTAAGCATGATGGCTTTCGTGGTTCTTTTTTAATTCTATCTCCATATTAGCCTATAAGGCCGTTTCTGTTCAAAACTCCATCGTCCACAATGCTTTGCAGCTGCACTTCCTGCTTGAAAGAGTCCTTGTCATTGGCTCCTTTAATGGCTCTCATAATTGGCTCTCTCTCTCTTACAGTCTGAGAGGAGAAAGGGGGGCTGAAATCCCTCACTGCTTTGTCTGTGTCAGGGCAAGTGTCAGGTTACACAGGAGAGGCCAGTCAGCAGATCACAGCCATGAGACAGGATTAATCTCTCCTGCTACACATATGTGGTTTGGGGAAGGGAGGATAGCTTTTGCCTCTTCCCAACCACTGGTGTAGCATCAGGGGCTGCAATGGCGACCCTGCCTCATGCTCCAGGGGACCCGTGTAGCCTCCCTGTCACATTCAGTTTTATACTTGGGCTGTAGGGGGTAGCAGTAGCTGCATATACAGGAACTTTTCTTTCCTCCAGCAACTGCTGAAAGATAGCTTCTCCTCCTCCCCTCCCCCCGCTAGCATTAAGCTGCTGCAGAAGGAAAATCTTAATTAGGCTATTCAAAATAAAAAAAAAAATGAAATTCTGAACCATTTCATTGTGACCCATGACTGGTTAGCAGATCACTTAAGTGGCCCTCACTCTTCAAAAGGTTGAGCACCCCTGCTTTATTGGCTAATTTATCTTCCTAAGGTTGCATCCTTGGGCATTATACAATTCTTGTTCTGGCAGACTTGCTTCTTGCTGGACAAATGATCCTATCAAGCTGCTCCTCACATGGGGACCTCCCCTTCTCCAACATTATTACATGCACACGCATGCACATGCATACAAGGATGTTGCGGGCATGCTCACATTCCGGGACTGGAGGAGAGCACTGACTGTTAGGTGAGCAAGGACTAGGTTAAAGTGGTTGTAAAGGCTCTCTATGCACGAAGGTAAAAAACCTTCTGTGTGCAGCAGTGCCTCCAGCCCCCTCAATACATACCTGAGCCTCATCACGATCCAGCAATGTGATTGACAGCCTTGGCTGTCACGGGTCTCTGTCTCCTCATTGGCTGAGACAGCAAGTGAGAGCCATTGGCTCCCGCTACTGTCAATCACAGCCAGTCAGCCAATGAGGAAAGAGAGGGGGTGGGGCCAAGTCATGGCTCTATGTGTGAATAGACACACGTAGCAGCTGGTGCCCCCATAGCAAGCTGCTTGCTGTAGGGGCACCGACAGACAGGAGGAGCCAGGAGAGCCAGCAGGTAAGTATAGACATGTTTGTTATTTAAAAAAAAACAAAAAACCTTTAGAATCACTTTAAATGTTCCTTTACTTAAAGTGAAGTCTAGATTTGGTCCAAGTAAGATGCACATTTCATACCTTTGGAACTGCTATAGAAGATGACATTCACTGTAGTTGTCGCCAATACTACATCACTGTCCATGTCCACTTCCGAGCGTTTTCCCTTCTGCATAATGACCACAAAGGTTCACTCGCTTGGCACCGCTGCTTTTCGCAAAACATATAATTTTTTTTTAATGAATACAAGACAGTCTTTAATTGGAAAAGGTGAAGAGGTGGGGTGGTGACATCATGATCTCCACCTCATCCAATCACAGTACAGCTGGTATTCATTGAACAAATAGAAAGTGTTCTGTGAATGACAGCAATGCTGAGTGAGTGACCCCACACCCTTTGGTATGAGATATGTACTTATATTGAACCACTGTAACCATGCAAAAAAAATCCCACCTAGACTTCAGCTTGAAATGAGCCTTTAACCTATGGTATCCTGGTAAACAAGGTGGAGAGGGAGGGTGCATGAACCAATGATATTTTACATAGAAACACACACTTATGATGGTAGAAAGAGGCCAAAAATGAGACTGTCCATCCTTTTTATGTTTGAGAATGGATCTTTAGCTAGATAACTATATTCAGTTAGTTGTGAACTGAGCTTGTAATTCAGTTACATGCTATGTCTTGAACAATTCCTTACAGTACATTAGATTGTGTTATTCCATTTTAAATAATGTCCTTCCTGGATTCAGAGAATACTGTAAAGACTACGTCATTAAATGGAATGGTTACTTCTGGTCAACAGTCAAATACCTAATGATATATAGAAT